GCGGCATTTCTTACAACACATACGCTTCTCTGTAATAATGAGAAAAGGTAAATACCTTAAAAATTGTGAAGAGTAATTGAATTATTTATTCATTACTTCAAGCAAATTAGGTTAGGCTCAGATCTCATAAGCTTATCCTTTCGAGATATGAGCCTACCCTAATTCGCCTAAGGGTCATGCATTTATCTAATCATTCAGCTCTCCTTTCTTCATCAAACCAAGAAAATTGAAAGTAGGCGCTCTGCCTTCAATCTTGTCAACAAAGAAGTGTTCAATTTCACAATGCATAAAATACCAAAAAGTTTTCTTTCAAAATACTGTTTTCTTTGAGAAAATAGGAAACAAAATACTTTTAATTAGGCTAGCACCAAACATTGATTACACCCAAAAGAGACCAATGACAGTTTGATATTTTATTAGTCTAGTGAATGGATGCTCATCTTATGAAGATTCAATGTGAGATTTCTCATAAAACAAGCTTCCTATCAGAAGCATTATTGTAAAAAAATCATGATCTTGATATTCAAATCCCAAATATCCCATTGAAATTGTATTTTTTCATCCACGTGAAAAAGTTCTTTCACGTAGATGAAAAAATACAACTTCAAAGGGATATTTGGGATTTGAATATCAAGTATTGATTGAATAAAGATTGAAAGATATAAAATTGAATTAGATGCTCAGATTATTATGTTAACCATAGCACCCACAAAATATTGATTAATAATGTTAACGTGAAGTTAATTTGATTCAATGTTCTATTTTCCAAAGTTTGTTGCTTACCATAGTGAATTACACAAGGGGTCGGTTCCTTGCATTCATAAACAACATTCAAGGCAACTGTTCGACGGAAAAAGGCAGCGCATGCCTTAAAAATTGCCATTTTTCCTCAAGAAATAACCCATTTTACGCACTAACCTTGCATGCACGTGCTCCAAAATGAATTGATCTAGCCGTTGGCGACTCACATATTTCACATTTACGAGGTTTCATCGAGCAACAATTCTTACAGATTAAGTGAGAACGTACGAATGAAGGTACGAAGTACGCAACGGCTA